TCTGGGCAACCCCCCCGGGACCCTCCTGAGCCCCCCCATCCCTTGGGACTCCCCCCGGGCCCCCTGACCCCGCAGGGTGGTGGGTGCTGTGGGTAGGGGGGGGTGCAGGGTAGGGGGGTGCGGAGCCCCCCGTGCCCCCCCCGACGGCGGTGCCCCGGCAGTGGTGGGTCGGCGGGAGCGGGAGCGCGGCACCGTCAGCGTCCGGACCCGGGACAACCGGCAGCTGGGGGAGCTGGAGCTGCCGCGGGTGCTGCGGCGGCTGCGGGAGCTGCGGGACGGCCGCGTCCCCGACGCCGAGCAGCGCTTCTGACCCCCCAATCCCCGCCCCGGGGGTCCCCGAAACCCCCCTCACACACACACTCAATAAACCGCTGGAAAACGCGCTGGATGTGGCGGGAGCTGAGACCGGAGCGGGGAGGGAGGGGCGGGACACCGGGAAGATCCCCCACACACCCCAACACCTGAGTCCCCCCCACACACCTGTACAGCCGGGCTCCCCCACCGCAACACTTGGGGGGGGTGTGTGTGTCCCCCTATCCCAGATTCCCATTCCCGGGTTCCCATTCCCGGGCGCGTTCTCTCCCCTCCCCGCACTTCTGGGTCCTTCCCACCGGGATTTCCCCCCGCCCACACTTGGGGGAAAGTGGGGGGGGTTGCGCAAACCCCGAGTCACGTCGCCGCAGACCCGGTTGGGCAATCGAGGAGGGGGACACCGGGCTGGCACCTGCCCGGGCGTTCGGGCTCAGCCCCAGGCAGGATTTGCCCCCCCCGGGGCCCCCCTGTCCTGGGGTAAAGGGAGGTGGCCAAGCCGTGACCCTCCGGCCGCTGCTGCCCCGCACTGGGGTGTCCCCAGGGTTGGGGACACAAGCTGAGACCCTTCCCCTCCGGGGGTCCCTCCGTGGGTGGCCCCTGAGCCCCCCCCTCCAGCACCGGGGGTGACTCAGCGGGCGGTGGCCCCGAAACGGGGCAAAACCCACAAAAATGCGGTCCGACCACTTCCCCCTGGTGTGACGCCGGGGTCGGGGGGGGGGGGGGGGGGGCTGGGGCCACCAGAGGGGGGTCCGGGGCTACCAAGGTGGGGACAGGACCACCAGGGTGAGGATGGGACCACCAGGGTGGGAACAGGGTCCCCAGCCTGTCTGGGGTGGGGGGCACAACCCTGGCCCTGTTTGGGGGTGCGGGACATGGAGCAGCCCCCCGGCCCCTCCCGGGGGCCCCCCCCCCCGGCCCGGCCCCGACGTCAGGCCGTGACTCAGCCCGCAGGATGTGGCCCCGCGCCCGCCCCGGCCCTTCATAAGGCGGTGGAGCCGGCGGTAGCCCCACAGCGCCCGACGCCATGGCGGCCTTCGGCCTCCTCCTCCTCCTCAGCGCCGCCGGTGAGTCCCGCGGCCCCGAGCCACGGTCCCCCTGCACGGCTGGGCCCCACCCCGGGCACCTTCATCCTCGTCCCGGACACCCCCGTCCCCTTCCCGCACACCTGGCTGCCCTTCCCGAACTCCTGGATCCCTTTCCCGAACTCCTGGATCCCTTCCCCGGGCACCTGGATCCCTTCTCGAACTCCTGGATCCCTTCCCGGACATCTGGATCCCTTCCCCGGGCACCTGAGGTTCCCCACAGACACCTGGGGCCCCTTCCCGAAACTCCGGGTCTTTTTCCCGGACACCCGCGTCCCCTCCCTGAGCTCCCGGATCCCACCTGGGACACCTGAGTTCCTCCCCGGTATTTGGGACACCTCCCGGGTGTCCCACCCTCGCTCCTGGGCTCCCCGCCCCGGATGTGCCGGTCCCTGCCCACACACCTGGAGCCCTCCCGAGTGCCCGGGGGTCCCTGTCCCAAACTCCTGGGTCCCTTCCCCGGGATGGGGCTCCACTGGGCCCGCAGGTGTGGGAGGGTCTCTGCTCGTTGCCCCACGGGCGTGGGGATGGAGGGGGTGACCCCACTGACCCCCTGTGTCCCCCACCGGTGACAGCGGCGGCCTCGGGGCAGGTCGAGCAGGTGCTACAGGAGAGCCTGGACCTGGGGCCCACCAACATCGGGCAAGGTGAGGGGACAGACGGGGACAGATGGGGACAGCCAGGGATGGGGGGACACGAGGGGACACACCCAGGACAGGGAAGAGGGAGATGCTCACAGGGAGGAAGGGGACAAGGTTGGGGGTGGAGGGACACGGGGACATGGGTGGGCGACCAGGGGAGACACGGATGGGGGGGGACACGGGGTGGGAATGACTTGGGGACGGTGCGGGTTGGGGATGGGGTGGGGGGACACCACAATGTGAGACACGGACACTGGGACAGGGAACAAATGGGGAGAGGGGGGCACATGGGGACAAGTGTCACCTGGGGACAGTGCAGAGGGACACCACCCGCCCTGTCCCCACCCTCCACCCCTCGTTTTTCAGTGCTGCAGCAGGAGGTGGACCCCGCGGTGCCCCCCAACATCCTGTTAGGGGGAAGCACGACCGTCTCGGGCCGCCCCCCGATCTGGGGCAGCGCCCTGGACGGGTTCCCCCCCGGCCTGGCCCGTGGCCTCCGCCGTGACCCGGCACTGCCGCGATCCCCCCACGGTGTCCCCGCCCCCGATGTTGCCCCCCAACGGCTTCGCCCACCTGCACCGTCAGGCGGCCGCGCTGGCAGCGCTGCGGCCCCGCATGAGCGACTGCTGCCGGCACCACGCACCGCTGCCCTGCGCCCGCCGCGCCGTGAGTGCGGGACACGGGGGGACACGGGGGGACACGGGGACGGGGGTGACCACCGTGGGGAGGGGGGGACACTGCGGACACGGGGGACGCCACTGGGAAGGGGGACGTAGAGACACTGCAGGGAGTGGGGACACCGCGGGGAGGTGGGATGTGGGGACACTGTGGGGCACGGGGACACTTGGAGGGGGGGACATGGGGACACTGCAGGAAACACCGGGGCGGGGGGAACGTGGGGACACCGCGGGGAGGTGGGATGTGGGGACACCGTGGGGCACGGGGACACTTGGAGAGGGGGACATGGGGACACTGCAGGAAGGGAAGACACAGGAACACCGGGGCGGGGAGAATGTGGGGACACCGCGGGGAGGGGGCGCGCGGGGACTCGGTGGAGGGAAGGACGCGGGGCCGCCGCGGGGCCGGGGTGACCCCGAGGGGGCTCCGCAGTGGACGGACGTGCTGGACGGGTTCTGCACCGATGAGTTCGCGGTGAAGACGCGGCAGTTCCACTGCTGCCGCCGGCACGGGGCCGCGCGGCGCCGCTGCTTCGCCCAGGAGACCCCGGCCCCCACCTGGGACCCCAACACCTCCTGGGAGCCCAACACCGCCTGGGACCTGGTCACCGAGACCCCCTTCCCGCCCGGGGAGCCCACGGCCGCCAACTTGGGCAACATCTGCGGGCTGCGGGAGCTGCGCCCCGGCCCCCCCGGGCCCGACACCCCCTCCGGGCCCCGCATCGAGCTGCGGGTCCGCCTGGAGCGAGAGTACGGGCGGTGCTGCCGCAACGAGAGCCTGAGCTGCGCCCACAGCGCCGTGAGTGCGACAAGGGGGGACACAAGGGGGGGACACGGGGGCGGGGAGGGTCCCGGAGTCAGAGGATGAGGGGCACTCGGGTGTCGAAGGACTGGGGGGATCCAGGAATCCGGGAAAGGGACACAAGTGACTGGGAAAGGGATCCAGGAGTCTCGGAAATGGACCCAGGTGTTTGGGAGGGTCTCGGGTATCGAAGGACTGGGGGGACCCAGGCATTTGGGAGGGGGACCCAGGAGTCCCGGAAAGGGAACCAGGAGTCTGGGAAAGGGCCCCAGGTGTTTGGGTTGGCCCTCAGGTATCCGGGGAGGAGCCCCATTTGTTTGGGAGGGCCCCCGCCATCCGGGGAGGAGCCCCCGGTGCCCCGGCAATGACCGAGGTGCCCGGAGCGTGACCCAGAGGCGGGGGAGGCACCCAGGTGTCTGCGGGGGTGACGAACCTCTCAGGGAGGGACCCAGACAGGGAGGGGCGGAGGCGTCCGGGAAACGACCCAGGGCTTGGGGGGGGACTCAGGTGTCTGGGAGGGACCCAGGGGTCCGAGGGGGACCCCCTGACCTCCCCCTTTGCCCCGCAGTGGCTGAAGGGGATGAATCGGTTCTGCCGGGAGGAGTCGGCGGTGAAGACGAGGCATCACTGGTGCTGCCAGCGCAAGGGTCTCCGGGCCCGGGGCCGCTGCTTCGCCGCCGCCGCCCCCGTCCCCAACTACGACCGGGAGCTGCACAACGTGAGCCTGGTCCGGCCCGGCCCCGCCTTGCTGCGCTCGCTCTGCGGCCCCACCCGCCTCTTCACGCAGAGGTAGGTGACCCCCAAAACACCCACCCCTGCCCCCCCGGGACCCCACAGTCCCTGATGCTGGAGAGGACCCGGGACTCCCCATCCCAGAGCGGACCCGGACATCGGGGACCCTCCAGTGCTCAGAGACCCCTCTCAGTGAGGTTCCCAGGAGTCCACCCCCTCTCCCAGCCCCCCCACCACCCCGAGTTGACCCCCCTCCCCTCGTGACACGCCCTGTCCGTGTCCGCAGGCGGCCCGTGCCGGAGCTTTTTGGGGCCATGACGGCCGCGTGTTGCCCCCTCCCCGCCGAGGAGCGCGGGGTCTGCGCCCGGGAGCAGGTGAGTGACCGAGCGGGGTGGGAGGGGGGTCAGCGGCTCTGGGGGACCCCCACGGCTACTCTGACCCCCCCCTCATCCTTCCCCACTGTCCCCAGCTGTCCCAGGCCATCGCCACGCTCTGTGCCACCCCCGAGGACTCCTGGCGGGACCCCCAGGGCTGCTGCTCGTGGGAGGAGCCCGAGCGGCGCCGCTGCTTCGACAACGCCTACCTGGACCGGGTGACCCTGGGAGCCGCCGTGGCCCCCCCACCCCCCGGCCACGACGAGTGAACCCCCCCCACCCCCGGCATGAGTGGGGCAATAAAGATGCTGTTGTGTCACCGCTGAGTGTCCCCATTGTTTGGGTTTTGGGGGGGGCCACTGTGTCATTGTTTTGGGTCCCCCCCCCACACTGTGTCTCAGTGTCTCCACTGTTTTGGGGCCCCACCCCTGTGTGTGAGTGTCCCCATTGTTTTTTGGGGGCCCCCCCGTGCCCCCATTCCGGGGTGTGCCGGGGTGTGGGTGGGTGTTGGGGTGTTTGTGCTGTCAGGGTGTGTCGGGCCCGGTGTGATACCTGTGTTTGGTTTTGGGGTGTGCTGTGGCCACCTCCTCACCCACATGGGGTGCCCGTGGCCTCTTGTCCCCGGGGGGTCTCTTTTTCCCCCCCCCCTCCCCAAAGCCCCTGGATTCTCGTGGCCCCACAGTGTCACTGTCACCCGTGTTCCCCCCCATTGCCATGATCCCAGGGGCTCCCTGTGTCCTACAGCTCCATGTTGGCCCCCAAGTTGTGTCTGACAGTCCCCAGGGGGGGTGTTTGAGAGACCCTGATGGGGTTGGGGGACTCCTGTGGATTCATCCACCCATCTGTCCTTCCACGTGTCCTTCCCCCAGGCCCAGGTCCTCCGTCCATCTGTCCATCCAAAAATTCCCCAGCAGCACCTTCTCTCCCAGTTCTGCCCCACCATGGGGGTCCTGCCCCCTTGGGAAAGAGAAGGACTTTTCCCATCCCTGTGACCCCTTTCCCAGCACAGAGCAAACTGGTCCCAGCCTTTATTCCCAATTTTATTTGAAAAATAGTCGTATCATTCTCAGCAGCCTCCACCGGGATACAGGGTGGAGCGATAGGGATCTGTGCTCTCCGTTGGGAATATTCCACATCCACTGTTCCCCAGTATTCCTGGAGGCAGAGGTTGGCCTGGGACCCATTTCCTGAAGCATCTCTGGATGGATCGGCCTTCATGGATCTGGCCAAGCACGATCCATGGGAAGGCAGAAGCCAGCACGGCAAAGAATTCCCAGGAAAACAGAGCTGGGGGAAGCTCATCCCTCCATTCACTGCAGCTGGGAGAGGGGTTCCCTCCCCTATCCCAGGGGAAATTTCTGGTGGAGTCCCAGAATTCCCCCCGGGAGCGCTGTCCTTCGAGACCGGGAGGGAAGAGGCCGAGTTGGAAGGTCGGGAAGTGGGGAGGGAAGGGCCGGGGTGTCACATCTTGGGGAAGCTGGCCAGGTTGGCCACGCCGCAGGCGTTGTCCATGTTGCGGGCCAGGAGGACGTAGCCCTTGTTGCCCCACTCCTCGCCCCAGCTGAGGGGCGGAAAAGCAGAGCCTGAGCCTCTGGAAGAGCAATTCCCGAGCCGGTGACCGGCCATCCCGCCATCCCCACCCCCGGTGTACCTGTTCTTGATGATCCAGTGCTTGGTGCCCTTCTGTGCCCCGTAGCCCACGGCCAGCACAGCGTGGTTGATGTTCTCCGCGTTGCAGTTCTCGTCGTAGTAAACCCCTGGGGACACAGGGCTGTCACCACCTCGGCTTCCCCGGGCAGCCCCAGCGCCCCGGCGTGCCCCCCAGCCCCTCACCCCGGCTGTAGAACTGGAAGGAGGGCAGGCTGGCGTCGATGCCCACGGAGATGGGGCCGATCCGGGCCACCGCCCTCTTCAAGGCCTTCTCGTTGCCTTGGGGGATCTCGCGGTAGCCGCGGCACTTGGCCGCCTTCCCGGTGGGGCTGTACATGCAGCTCTCGTCCTGCCGGGAAGGGGGAGGTGAGATGGGGGCGAGGGGGGTGGAGGGAGGGAGGTGTGGGGCCCGTGTCCCCCCACCCCACCTGGCCGATGTAGGGGTAGGCGTCCTCGGAGTCGATGCCGCGGTTCTGCCGCACGTACTCGAAGGCGTTGGTCATGTACCCGCCGCCGCAGCCGTCGTTGTTGGCCACGCAGTCCACCAGGTTCTGGGGGCTCAGGGACAGCAGTTTCCCCGTCTTCCTCTTCAGCTGCCCCTCCAGGGCACCCACCGAGCTGAACGCCCAGCACGAGCCGCACTGGCCCTGTGGGGACACGGCGGGTGACACCGGGGTGACACTGGGGTGACACCAGGGTGACACTGGGGTGACACCATGCTCTGGGCACCCCTGGCAGCACCGGCCTCACCTGGTTCTTGACAGGGGTGACGTAGCCCTTCTTGCGCCAGTCCATGGCAGCCGGGGCTCTCTCGGTCCAGTCGGGGACAAAGAGAGTCTCGTTGTGACGTTGGTGGCCACGGGGCACCTTCAGCCCCGTCATCGTCCTCACCACCTCCTCGCTGGTCTGGGGAAGGAGCCCGGGGTGGGTGAGCCTAGGGGGAAGGGGGTGTGGGAGCACCCGTGGGTGCTCAGCCCCCCCCCTGCCCCCAGTGACACCCCCCATGCCCCCAGTGACCCCCCCCCTGCCCCCCAGTGACCCCCCCCATGCCCCCAGTGACACCCACCATGTCCCCCAGGTGGTTCATGGCCAGCTCGAAGGTGTGGACGCCCAGCGTGTGCTCCAGGTTGTGGGTGTTGATGTACTTGAGGTTCTTCTCCCAGATCAGCCGCCGTGTCACCTCGTCTGCCTGTGCCACGGGGTGAGAGGGAGCTGGGCAGGGGGGTCCTGCCTGTGCCCCCTGCCCTGGGGGCATCCTCTGGGACCAGGGACACCCTCCTGCCCCAGTGTCCCACCCTAGGGACATCCTCGTGCCCCAGTGTCCCACCCTGGGGACATCCTCCTGCCCCAGGGACATCCTCCTGTCTCAGTGTCCCACCCTGGGGACATCCTCTGGCACCAGGGACATTCTCCTGCCCCAGTGTCCCACCCTGGGGTCATCCTGGGGGTCCCCAGCTCCCAGACCCCCCCTCCCCAGGGTCCCTGCCCCACCTGGCCGTTGTACTGCTTGCGGTGGGTTTTCTTCCACAGCTCCCACTGCGTGTCCAGTTCCGGCTCTGGGTGCAACTGGGCCAGGGCCACAGGGACCAGCAGGGCCAGCAGCCACCACATCCTGGGGACCAGCTGAGCACTGGGAATGGGGCAGACACTGAGCTGGGGGGCTGGGGGTGGGCAGGACTCAAGTATTGGGGTCTGGGCCCCTGTGCCCATCCTCGTTTGGGGCTAGGACCCCTCTGCACACCCTGCCTTAGGGCCAGGGCCCCCTGCACACCCTGACTTGGGGCTGGCGTCCTCTTTCCACCGTAGCTTGGGGTGCTGGGCCCCCCTTGCCACCCTAACTGGGGACTGGGCCCCTCTTCTCACCCTAGTTGGGGTCTGGAACACCCTGCCCACCCTAATTTGGGGTTGGAACCCCTATCCAGCCTGATTTGGGGCTGGGCCCCCCTGCCAAGCCTAGTTGGGGTCTGGGACACCTTTCTCAGCCTCATTTGGGGGTCTGAGATCCCCCACCCACCCTGATAAGGGGCCAGGACACCCCCGTGGCAGCGCTGGCCGGGCGCCGGCATCACATGAGCCGGCCCAGCTGGATCCCATTACAGCGTCCGCGTCTTTCCGGCAGATCCG